AAAAAAAAAAAAAAAAAAAAAGTAAAATTCCAAGGCATTGTTTAAACAATTCCTTTGTGTAATATAAATGACTAAGGTCCCTGGCAGGAGTTAAAACAATGACAAGATTGGGATTGGAAAAATTCTATACCCGATCCCAAACTTTGTGCTTCCTGTTATGCCAGACATTAATGGCAGAAGGCACAATGTTTGGGATGGGGCATAAAATTCCTCTGATGCCAGTTGCACCACTGCTGAGTTGCAGCTAATTGAGTCTTAAAATCAGGCAGGGGGCATCTCTGTCCTGGACCCAGGGCTGCCACCATCCCCAGCAGGTGTGAGACCTAGGACTGTTGAGCTGACAATTAGCTTACTGTCAGTCCAACCTCAGGACAACTCAGTTGCATGTGTGGAGTTTAGATGTCCAGGGGCACTGGATCCATGGGGTCGAGGAGCCTCTTCTTTACCCTGGGGTCCCAGTGCACTGGGACATCTAAAAACTGTGGGTTCAGCCTAGCTCCCTGCAACCCATTATTTTAAAGTGCCTTACCCTGCAGCTGCTGCAGGAATTTCATGGCAAGGTGGGAAAGTGTACTGGGCTTGGAGTTTGCCAGGTTCATGGCAGTCAGCTCCTTGGCTTCCATTGCTAGAAAACCTTGCTACCTACTATACCAGCAGCTGATTTTTGGTACTGGGACCAGGACTGTCCAGGTCCCAGTGCTGACCATACCCCCATGCCAATACAGCAGTCAGCTGATTGTCAGCATCAGCATAGGGGCGCTGCATGTTCAATTTATCATGTCATACAAATGAGCTGCAAAGATGCTTCACATTTTGTGAACCATCTTTGGGGTTTGTACACCACTTACGGTGCCATAAATAGGCTGACTGTTTAGCATTGTTACTATTTATGGTGTGATTAACATGTTAATTGCATCATAACTGTAATGTGCCAAGGAACTAAAGGATGAGAATGAAGCTACCGTTTTGCCAGTATCTTCTATTACAGACTTGTTTGTGCCTTTGGCTGTTTAATGTGAACAGTACATATACGTTTTCTGTAAAAATGTACTTGGCAAACAGCCTATACTTCTTAAATTTGTAAAAGTCTCCAGCTTCTCTTATGCATTTGGCTCTGGTTATCTATTCCTTTATCTCAGCCTGTAAGCAGACTGGGCTGTCTGCTGTTAAGTAGTTGATAGTATAGTGTTAGGGTTTGAAAAAATCTCAGAACCAGCCTATTTACAGAAATATTGAGAGAAGCAAGTATTCAGAAAAACTGGATAAGGTTCAGTTGGATATGCATATTTTTCGTTTTAATAATAGTTTGTTATTTGAGATTTAGTTAAATTAATTATAGGACTTTTTCTTAAAGTTGATTTTATTGTATTTAATAGTAAATATTCTGTTTCTTTAAAAGAAAATGAAGTTTTTTATTGTGTTTGTATAAGTTTGTTCCCCCTAAAAGATTTTCTAAGATCAAGAAAATTGAGTGAATGATTAAATTTAGCTTTCTTGTTCTTAAAAAAAAACAAAACAAAACAACCCCTAATTAAAAAATAGTCACTGAATCACTTTAGTATAGTAGTGTGAAACTTCTTTTTTTTTTTTTTTCTGTGCCCAGTCTGAAGTGTGGATTAGAACAAGATTCAAAATGTAAGCATTAGATTTTTTGGCATTGAAGAGCCTTAGGTAGTAATGGACCCTAAATTTCTTTCCTGAGGTTGAGGAGAATGTCTAGGGTTAGTTACCGTGATTATAGTGGTAATAAAATGAAGAACATTGCTGTGACTTCTTCATAGGCTTTGTTTGATCTCTGATAACTGTTAACTTTCAAGCTTTGTTGAACAGCTAATGCTTTACAAAACTAAATAATCGCCATATATTATCTGCATATCTGCTTTAAACATGAGCCATTTTGTATTGCTGCTTCATTTTTTTTTACAGAAGTTTTCCTTTCTCTGCCAAATAATCTTTAGAATCCATACTGTGAAATCTGATTATATGGGTAACAGTTGTCTCTGCAGATAAAAAGACAGCATCTTCTTATTAGAGAACATGGACTGAATTAAATGAAATGATTTTTGTAGCAGTCTTCAGTTGGTTTTAAAGAGAGTTAAAAAATTGTTTGCAAAATTCAGATACAAAATTTGTTGAATTAGGAAAGCAGTGTTATCAAATGACCATTGCTGTCAGTATGTGAAATTGGGTGTCTTGAGAGGCAGGTAGACTTATGTTTGACGCTACAGTTAATGCTGTCCTATGTGCACAAGGAGGCACTGTGTTCATTGTTAGTAGCCATTTTATTTCTTACAAAATGATGTGTACTTCATTGAACACCTTTGGTTTTTCAACAGTGTGTGCTGTACTTATGGGTTCTGAAGATTTTGTATCCAAACACATTATATCTTTTGAGAGGCAATCATGAATGCAGACACCTCACAGAATATTTTACCTTTAAACAAGAATGTAAGTATTGTTTAGGAATACAGTATTTGTTTTATTGTTGTTCTTTACTGCTTTCCATTGCAGAAATAATTATGTTTAACAGTTCTGTTAAGATCCTTCATGCATAGCTGTACTAGATTTGTAGATGTTAGGGTCAGAAGGGACCTCAGTAGATCATTGAGTCCGACCCCCTGCATAGGCAGGAAAGAGTGCTGAGTTCAGATGACCCCAGCCAGATGCCTATCTAACCTCTTGAAGACCCCCAGGGTAGGGCAGAGCACCACCTCCCTTGGGAGCCCATTCCAGATTTTGGCCACTCTAACTGTGAAGAAGTTCTTCCTAATGTCCAGTCTAAATCTATTCTTTGCTAGCTTATGGCCATTATTTCTTGCGCTTTGGTGAGTAGAGCCTCACCAATTCCCTTCTGCACTCCCATGATGAATTTATAGGCAGCCACAAGGTGGCCTCTAAAGAACTTGCCCCAGAGACCAGCTTATTTAGGGCACCTACTTATGGTAGGATTTGAACCCATTACACCAAGTCCCTA